CAATGGGCCAGGCAGCTTCATATGTGGGATGAAAGAAGGCAACCTATGGACATAGGAAGATGCATTACATATATTGATCCATCTGGTCCATCTGCCTCAGTCCTGCCGACACCTGCCTTATACAACATGGCTCCCTCCAGATGTTTTGAACTGCAGGTCCCATCAGTCCCAGCCAGCATGGTCATTGATCTTGAATGATGGGAGCTGTAGTCCAAAATATCTGGGGGGAACCAGATCAGGAGGGAAAGGGTTGAATCTGGGACTTTCTGCATGCAAAGCATATTCCCTGGTGGAGCTGTGGACTGACGTGTAGAGGAGAGAATTAGGCTGAAGGAAAGTTCGCCTCTGAGAGGAGAAAGTGGCAAGGCCAGCTCTGGATAATGGCAAGGCAAAGTCTCAGACTCAGGGGTGTGTGGCTATCTTGGAGACTTGAGATAAGAATATAAATTTTGTCCACCTCCACCAAGCACACACGTCTGCCCACTGCTGCCTTTCTTTCTCTTCTATTTTCGTTTCTCCAGAGGTTTTTTTAATGGAAAGGGTTATGTGATGAACTGGTGACAAAACTGTCGATTCAGTTTCCTTTAAATTGCTTATCTGGGGCTGTGTCATAAAAGGACATTAACCTATGAATGTCTTCTGTCTTTAATAATTTTGTGGAAGAGCCTTGTTTCAGCAAGGTCAAGTCATCAAGCAGGACATAAGGAAGGTTATACTTGCTGGAAATCCTCTCTCCCCCCCCCCCCAATTTTTAATAGTAGCCTCTCAGACATTTGTGACTCTGTCCCCTTAAATTCTGTTTCCTGTAGCCCTCATAACATGCAAGTGTGAAGCAGCGTACTCATGTTTTTATTTTTTCAGTAGCCTCAGTCTTCTTCAAGGGTGTATGTAGCAGAATCCTTCAGTCAACTCTTAGCTAAAGTAAAGCCCTTGCATGATACTTTGTGGAAATCTTTGATTGATCCAGACAGATTCAGAGGTTGTGCAAGGGTACTTGATTTATGAGTAACATGGGCCTGTGAAAAACTACTACGTACACTTTGCCTCAAGTAGCCGGCATGTGAGAACCACAACTTCATGTCTGACACAGGCATACCTGAAAGCTCCATCCCTTTCTCAGAAATGGGGAAAGAATACTGCCAGAGTATGCTTTTCCCCTCTTCTACTTCTTCTTCAGAGAAGTAGTCAGGCTGCCTAAACGACTATTGTGAAAGAACCAAAATTTGGTTTGGACACAAGGAATGAGAGGATTTCTCAAGCTTTTATTCCTGACGCACAGAAGGAGCAGGTTGATTCCTTTTGTGGTTTTATTCCATGACGTGGGTCGGTGGCCTACCTGTCCTGTAAAACAAACCATTCCCATCTGGCCCTTTCTCAACATTTTATCAGCTGACCAATAACTGAAACTTGTGGTGACTTCTCGCTGTTTTTTAGCCTCAAGGCTAATTTCTTGAGGCAATAGTAGAAGGAAATGTAGCGAAGCCAACATGTTGACTCACAAGCATGCTGGCCATCAACACAGATGAAATATCTGACTAATAAAAGTGCAGAGTCCTTAAAGCACTCTTTCATGTCTCTCACATCAGGTGGTTATCTTTGTGGATAGTGTGCAGCAAAACCACAAGAATGATTGCACTGCTGTGTAGAAAGTGCAGCCGAGAGCTACAAAGAAAGGACTCGCTCCGTTTTACGATTATGCAGCCACTTAAATACCAGGAATGGAAATGGACCAAAAGCCCCTAAGACTTAACACACAAAAATTAGGACTGCACAGGTCACAGGCTGTTAGCTGAAATTTCGCTCTACCAGCACACTATTCCACAATCAGGTTATTTGGGGGACATCCTGATGGGTGGCAACTTTTATTTCCTCTGTTCTCGCCCTAATAATTGCTGCAATTCTGTAGAACAACAAACAAAGACTATGTGATGTTCCAAACTATCCTTTGTGTAGGGAGCAGGCTCCTGTTTCCCCATTTTCCTCTTGTGTCCCCCCCCCTTTGAAAAACGTCTCACATTATATAGCAGTAGCAGCAGGAGGGTTCAGAGTAGCACCCATAGTCCTCCCTTTAGAAATCCAAGACTCTTATTTTCAGTAAAGCAAGCTTATGAATCAATCAGTAAGGGGAACCAGTGACCCTTTAGATGTTGTTGGAGTCCAACTCCTATTAGCCCTAACCAGCATGGCCAATGGCCATTGACCAGGGATCATGGGCTCTGGAGTCCAACAACATCTCAAGGGCCACAGGTTCACCATCCCTGGAGCACATTAGGCATTCCTTTCTGCTACTTGCCTCAGATGGTATAGTGCAATTACAGTAGCCGCCTAAGATGCAGCACCACTTGGTTGGATTAAGAGCCCTGCATTTGACGTAGGGCTGCCAACGTCTTTAACTCTACGCATGATTGACAATCTGAGAAGTTTGCATGGGGTTAAAACAGATAGAGAGGGGAACCTCCAGTTTCCTAAACTGTCAAATTACCCTTGTTCTTTATGCTGACCCTTCTCCAACTGATATTCGCGGGTTGCAGTTTCCTCGCTTCAGCCTTCTCTATTGGACCTCAGGGGAGAGGTCATTTTGTACCTGTCTCTGCCAAGAGCAAAGGAGCAAGCAAGGCTTCCTTGGACTCCACCACAGTTAGACTAGGAAACTGTTCTATCCAATAATGAAAGTAAGAGTTCTTTTTTTCCAGTTTAAAGTCTCTATGTGTTTGCTTCCCAGGACTTTCCTGCAGTGCAAAAGTTCAAGTGTCTGTTGATGCATATGAATATGCTATCAGAACTTTACTTTCACATTGGCAGTGGGACAGCATACCTCACTGCACCCAAGAGCAGAACGAAATGCAGGCTGTGTGACACACACAGCTTAGGAAATGCAGGGCAGGATATGTGACGCAGACAGCTCTGTCTTCCAACACCTTGCTGCTGTTCTGTGGCTCCACTTCGTCTGAGGCATCTGCCTCACTACACCTAAGGATAGGACTGGCTCTGGCACCCTAGAACTCAGAACAGGAGCACTCCATGCCGTAACTCTTTGTTGCAAGTCCCACCTGCACTTAGCTGATCTTCAGCTTACCGGAAAGGGTCCCTTTTCGCATGCCATTTGTGGATCTGTCTCTGCAATGCTTCACTAAATCAACCCATGCCTGTATAAAAATGCAGCCTTCAGCCATATAAAATAGGAGATCCTGGCAGTGTGGCAACTCTTGCAAAAGAGGGGCAGCTACTCCTCTTGCCCTTGAGGTGATTACATTTTCTCCGGGACAAGAGGGAGCTGTTTTGACATACTCTGTTAAAGTCATGGGCAGAACTTAAGGTGATGTGTCAAGGGAATCTTGTATGTCGTCATATGCACACACACACACACACAAATCCCACCTTGTTTCTGGTACAAAGATGATAGCTGTTAAGTTGTGGGTGAACATATAAGACGACACAGCGATTCTTCAAACAGCTCTTGTTTATTCACAGGCCAGGACAGAACTGAACTGAAGGGTTCAGTCAGCCTGCTTATATAGAGCTCCAGTACAATGTAACTGTAACAATTTTCTAAAACTATCCAATCACTGAACGTCACTTTCGATCCCTTATTTGCATTACTATCTACAGTATCCCCCTGCTGGCCCAGGGTGAGAACTTCAGTACACAATAGCTGTGCTGGAAGTGGTGCTCTAAAACCTCTGAAGAGCACCAGTTTCCGGACAGTTAGCATAGCAGGACTTGAAGAAAGCTCAATGAAACAGTCAGGTCTCAAAGCAAAAGTGGGTACCCCCACTTTGCCTGTGTCCCTTTGTCTGTTTTGGGTTTTCTAGCCAACCAGAATCAAGCCCTTCAGAAAAGAAGTGTGCTGCTTCTTCTGTTACTTCAGTCTCCCCTGCCAGTTATCCCTGAGCCCCTCCAGGTTAAACTGCCCCTTGCTCTGGAAAGCTTGGACTGGATATTTCCTTTTAGCTTTTTGGGACTACAGAAGGGAAGCTGAAACTCTTCTACTTCTCTGCTAAGCCCCTGTGAAAAGGCAGTGCCTCCAGATCTTCTTTGCAACTTCCATTATTGAAGGCTTACCTACACTGGAAACAAACTGGGTTAACAGCCCTTCCTTCTCTCTAGCGAATTGCATCTTTGTGAGTGGGGGTAGCTAAACTGCAATCCCTTGTGTTCTTGAGTAACGTTGTTCCAAAACAGGATATTTCTAGTTTAGGTAAACCTTTAGAGTTACTGTTCAAAACCAGTGAGCAAATGAGCAAATTATGACCATGATTTTACCTCTACATTTTGCTAAAATGATACAGAACCGTTCTTTAGTTTGCGATTGCCAACAGCAACAAAAGGCAAAGAGAGAAAGATGACCAAGTTATGCTACAGATCATACATATGTGCATACATACAGTTGTATCTTGGTTTTCTAACAGCATAGTTCTCTTAGTTTTGGCTCCTGAACGCCGCAAACTCAAAATTGAGTGTTTGCAAACTACAGTGGTACCTCGGGTTACATACGCTTCAGGTTACAGACACTTCAGGTTACAGACTCCGCTAACCCAGAAATAGTACCTCAGGTTAAGAACTTTGCTTCAGGATGAGAACAGAAATCATGCTCCGGCGGCGCGGCAGCAGCAGGAGGCCCCATTAGCTAAAGTGGTGCTTCAGGTTAAGAACAGTTTCAGGTTAACTATGGACCTCCAGAACGAATTAAGTACTTAACCCGAGGTACCACTGTATTTGGAAGCCGAACGTCCGACTGGACTTCTGCGACTTCTTCCTGCAGCCAATCAGAAGCTGCGCTTTGGTTTCTGAACGTTTTGGAAGTCGAACAAACTTCCGGTATGGATTCTATTTGACTTCCAAGGTACAACTGTACTTCTGGGGATTCCTGCAGCCAAGCTGCTGTCAAATATATTCGCTCAGCTTACCGAAGGGTAAAACTACATGGAACCATAGAATTGCAGAGTTGGAAGGGACCCCGAGGATTATCTAGTCCAACCCCATACAATGCAGGAATCTTTCCCCCAGCCTTGGGCTCGAACCCATGACCCTGAGATTAAGAGTATCATGCTCTACCCCCTGAGCTATCCCAAGTCCGTGTTTGGTAATGAACATGGGATTCCCCAATCCTTTATTAACTCTTCATGTGCAGAGTGGAAGAGGATGGGTATCTGGAGGGGAGAAGGGGGGGTCCCTTGTGCCCATCCCCTGGCTGCCATTTTCCCTCCGCAATCCCTCCCCTTCGGCAGCAAGTATATTTGCCTCCCAATGAGAAGTTCCCCTATTGCCTAAAGTGAGAGGTGGGCAGGAAGAGAGCTGGTTTTGGTATCACAAAACATATTAAGGAAGAATAAATTGCCTCGAAATAATACTTAATGTTTGTATAGAGCTTTCAGATGTTCAGAGCAGCTCACAGGCACTGTCTGAATGCAGGCCTTACAACAATTGCGTAAGGTGTGTGTGTGGGTACCCTTTTCAACCTCGTTGGCATCTCGAGAGACAATGGAGTGTTCCTCCAAGGGTGAAGTCAAGCTGCATTTCCCTCTGGACAACCTTCTGAGAACCTCATGCTGGTGGTGGGCGGGGCCAGAGGCAAAGTGGGTGGAGCCACAAATGTTAATTATACCTTTGGTGCAGTAGGCTAGTTTCACTCTCTCCACACACCTCTCTCTATCCTCTACCCAGTTCATCAAAAGGCATCAGAGTTCAAGGGCACGTTACAGGCAAGCAAAAAAGAAAGAGTAGTTTTCCTAAAGCGCAAAATATATCCATCCCTTAGGTGACAGGAGATCCAAGGAGTTCTTGATTTGTAGCACCCAGCACCTTAGGCTGCAATTCTGGGCACCCTTTCCTGAAAGTAAGAGCCATTGCACACAATGATTGTAGACATGCCCAGGATCGAACTGTTGGCCCCCGTGCTATACCAGCACTGCAACGCGGACAGAAAATGTAACCCATTGCTAAATTGTGGGGTAGGAGCAGTGATGACGTCTGTTTGAAGAATTATACCAGAGAGGGAGGTGGTATTATTTTTGAAACATTTAAACAAACGCCCAGTCTTTTAATTGCTTGAGGGATCTTGATGAGATAAATCCAGTGTATTTCTGACCTGCGTATCTTCTGAAACTTTATTATCAAAAAAGGACAACTGTTACGGAAGCCCTGTCCTTTTGATAAGTAATAGGTTTGTTTTTCTCAATAAAATCTGCCGCTAGAACAGGATAGTGAATCTAGGGCCCACCAGATGTTGCTGGACTGCATCAATCACCTCATCATTGGCCATAGGAGGCTGTATTTTTAAGCTCAGTTTTCTGTCATATTGTGGTCAGTTTGTTCTGCTTTGCTTTTGCTTTTAATATCAGAGTGTATTATAAAGTGGCTTTAAACAACAAGACAACAGCCTTTTAAAGTTGAGGTAGTTTAAATCTGCTTTAGTGCTTTAACTTTTGTATGTTTTCAAGTAGAGTTATAAATTTTTGTTTTATCCTTTCAAGGTTTTTTTGTTTGTTTTACAATCAAGCGGCGTATACATTTTATGAAATAAATAAATTATGTAGGATGAGGACTACCGTGGGAAGGAATTGTAACAGCTCTACCTGTTTCTAGATATTGCAGCATGGGGCCCTACCCTGAGGATAGATCAGGATCAAACCCTAAGGCTTGCACACTTTCTCCCTCTCTCTTCTGTGTTTTAATGCAGGGAACATTTTAAAATGCAGCCCATTTTACCATCTCATTCTGCTCCTTGTTTCCGCTCCAAGGATAAACAAATCACAGACACTTCAGTCGAACAATTTTCTTGGAAGCAAGTTTCCTTGAACTCTGTGGAACTGATAGTGGCTTTACATATTCATGTGCCTCTCTAATGACTTGCAATGGAATGGGAAAACTGACTCCACTGAAGAACACTTCATTGGAAGTGACGTGAGGTGATACAGAAATTCTGTCTTTGACTCTGGTCCTCGATGTCTCCTTCACACACATGCAAGTCAAGACTGGATGTTTAGGTCATCAAGGAATAAGCATGCATGGTCAACTTGCCCTCAGTTCCACCGAATTTGGTGAACAAACAAGCTTAAGATTGCAGCCCATTGTCATATGATTAAGAGTGAAGTTGGCTGCCGCTGCTCTTTTGATTCATAAACTCTCAGAAAAGTCCCAGCTTTAAATTATCACTGGGCATTTTATTTTATCTTTTGGCGCAAGGCAAGGCCTGTATATTTGGAGGAAACCTTTCTACTCCATAGAAGTGAGCAACTTGGACTGTTGTTAATGCTGTAATGAAAATTATACTGGAGACATAGTAAAATGGTCTCAGCTTGGCAACTCACACTGCATCATTTTAGTTAATACATTTCTACCCCAGCTCCGAGTTGCTCTGCAACATTGGGCAGTCCCTTTGTAACATGGACAAGCATTTATTGTTCCTATGGACTGAAGCATTCTCTTGCTTATTATGTAAGGATTGTATAGTTGAAATGATGTACAAACCCAGCAAAATGTGCATTAATATGCCATGGCAGCTTTCCAACACTGTACATTCCTTAAAAGTGGCCTAATGTTTTGGTGAGTGCATTAAATGTCATCAAGAAAAAATTAGAAAGGGTATTTTTAGGTAGCGTTAACTTTTGTTCAGTTCCACATCTTTGTTCCTGCAGCCAGTCCATCCATTGTGGCAGTGGGGATGGAGGAGAGATTCAAAATATACAGTACTTCTTTCAAACATTTCAAGCTTGAGGTCTAAAACGATTGCCTCAAGTCCTCAGCTAGCATCATTTATGGACTGTGATGCAATCGACCCTTGACAGTTTCTGAAGGCTATGTGGCTGGAAAAAATCAAAAGCTTAATTTGTTATAGCAAAACGTTTTGGGCCAGATTCAGCTACTCCGTTCCCTTAGTGGAAGATAGCACAAGGATTCCAGCTGGAGCAATGGGGCCTTGCCTCTCCCTGCCACCCAGTGCACCGACCTCAGCTACCCCCAATCCACTCGGAAGGTTTGCTTGATCCCCCAGAACAGTGAGCCAGGAGTGGGGAGAGGAGAGGGAAGATAATTCTATCTGCAAGCAAATGTTTGCACTGACTGAACTATTGCATTCATGCTAAGTTGAACTCCACCCTCCTGCCTCCTTCAACTGCTTGTTGTGAATCAAAAGATGGTGTAGCCAAGGTGGCTCAGAAAATGAAATATTCCAAAGAATTGCATTTGCACTAGTTGAGTCATAGGTCTGGTATTATCCTCCAGGTTTAGGCTATGTGGTGTTAAGGTATCAAGTCTATAGATTCAGAGGATCAGACAACATCTCTGTTGAATAATTGATAAATACTGTATAGATAATAATAATGTCATTGGTAAATAAGTGGTGCAGAGCAAACTTATATATGCAGTAACAAAGTACTTAGCCAACTCTCAACACCTTTGTATTGCCAAGTTGTTATTATTTTTAAGAATTTAAGAACATAAACATCAGAGCCTTGCTGGATTGGGTCATACTCCCTCTCTGAAGGAGCTGGTATGTAGCTTGGGGGTACTTCTGGACCCTTTGCTGTCACTTGAGGCTCAGGTGCCTTCCACCAACTTTGGCTGGTGGCCCAGCTGCTCCCTTATCTGGACAGGGACAGCCTAACTACTGTTGTCTGTGCTCTGGTAACATCAAGGTTAGATTACTGCAATGCATTATATGTAGGGCTGCCTCTGAAGATGGTTCAGGAACTTCAGCTGGTGCAGAATTCGGTGGCCAGGTTGCTCACCGGTGCAAGACGGTTTGAGCATATTACACTGATCCTGGCCTGACTGCGCTGGCTGCCAGTTAGTTTCTGGGCCCAATTCAAAGTGCTGGTTTTGACCTATATGGCTCAGGACTGCAATACCTCAAGGACTGCTTCTCCCCATATAAACTGACCTGAGATCTTCCTCGGAGGCCTTTCTTCATGTGTCTCCTCATGTGTCTGGAGGGTGGCAACACGAGAATGGGCCTTTTCTGCAGTGGCTCCCCACTTGTGGAACGGTCTCCCCAGGGAAGTCCGTCTGGCGCATCTGTTATACACCTTTAGGTGCCAGGTGAAAACGTTCCATTTCAACCAGGCTGATTAATACCCTAAATCCTTTTAAATATGTTTATGGGAGAGAGGATTATTGGGTTGTTTTGTTGTTGTTTTATTATGTATGTATTTTGTGTTTCTTTCTTGTACTTTTATGCTGTGAACTGCCCTGAGATCTTCGGATGAAGGGTGATAAACAAATTTAATGACCCATCATCATCTAGGCCAGCATCCAGTTTTCACAGTGGCCAACAAGATGTATCCCGCCAGTGGGGATATCTTCAGTCAGTTTCTTTGCACATTTAAAAATCTGTCCATAGGCGTGCCGATAGCTTGTATCTTCCTCCACCAACAGTGGTGCAAATTTCAAAAATGAGTGTTGGCTATGTAGCTAAAGCCTGCTGGGTTGCAGTGCCCATAATATTGGAGTCCTGTGTCTCTCGCCAAATGTCATGGGGCAGACTGTGTTACTCAGTGATGAAAAATGCTGCACATGCTCAAAGTCAGGAGTGCCAGCTTGGCCCTGCGGTCATGGGTGCCTAGACGGATGCCAGGCAGCATGCCTGGCCCTGGCACTGAACTTTGTGGGTGCCCGGCCCCTTCATGGGGAATTTTGTGGGTGCTTGGGCACCCAGGGCCCCAGGGTGTTGGCACCTATGCTCAGAGTCACTTTATAATCTCATTCTGCATTTTCCACAGTGCATTTTCCACATTTTCCCTGCATTGGAAATAAGACCTGGGACTTGGTCCTTGGAAATCCTGGCTTAGATTCTTCCCTGTCGCCTAGGCTTCCTCTCCCTCAGTAGCCAGGTGACACCTGGGGGGTGGAGGAAGCAGAATCAAATAAACCCCAGTTGATATTGAGTCTCTGAGGTAAACTTTTGGAAGAGATTCCCGCCGCCCCTCCTCCTCCCAAAGCAAACTTTGTGATGAACACGTCATTCACATACCTTCCGTCGGGGATTTGGTTTAAAGTAAACATACTGCAGTATTTGAAAATGCCTTTGCTGCTAAATCTTTGGCTAGACTGACTTATATACATTGCATTGAAACT